TCATTGAGATGCGTATACATCTAAGGCACAAAGGGGTAAATGCCACCTAAGATGTGGAAATATGGTGGAGACATGAAGCAGAATTGAGCTGCCTTAGTCATGGAGAACAGCCTAGGTTCAGTGGAAAATCTTCTCTTTGTGCTTGGTCTTGAAGGATGTGGGCCACATCCCTGGCAAGAGGGATGAGGAAGGGTGATGCGAGCCAATAGGATCTAACTGAGAACAGCAGTGAAGATGGGTCATGAAATAAAGTCAGTTTTATTTGTGATGTTTGTGTCTAAATAAATGGCTCTAAAGAAGAAGAGTAAAGGAAATTTACTAAGGTTTATTATGGTCTGAAAAAGTGGGTTGTAAAGAGGTGGAATTAAACCATATATTTTCTTTCTCTGTGGAAAGACGGCGGGTTCTGAGTGGGTAATGACTCTGTGACCAGCTGTGGAGTTGGTCTCTGTGTGAAAGCTTGCTGGATGATTTGCTGGGTTTCATCACCAAATTACTTGGAGAGACCTGGAAGTGAAAAGTTGATGGAAGGTAGATAACTGAAAGGAGTTAAAATGAAAAAAAAAAAAAAACAAAAAACAACCAAATTTTAGTGACCAAGCCTCAATCAGTTAATATAAAGTCCAGGTTATATTTGAAGTTACAAACGTCAATGTTTGTCCTCTGGACTGAAAATGTTAGAGGATAATCTTTTGGATGAATGAGTTAAAGATATTCAAATACTAGTGCAGGCACTTGGAGCTGATGGAGCAAAACTCATGCAACATGAACTTTTTGTGAGGTCACATTTGTGGGGAGACCTTAGAGGTGTGTGTTTTAAATAAATAACATTATTCTCTACTTAATGCTTTAAAATTTGGCTTTTCTATTTGAAAAATCATAGGGAAAAAAAGTCTATATTAATACATATATATTTGATTCCTTTTAAACTGCTATGAATATTTTATAGTTGATTTAAGCCCATTCCCTCCCAGTGGATTTCTATATTATTTCTAATGGTCTGTTTATAAAAACATCACAATCAACTCCTGCCTAGCCTTGTATGGGCTTTCTCCATGCTAGTCCTTATTCCTTATGATTGGATTATCTTAAAATGCTAGGGATCCCATGGTATGTAATAGCAATGACCAACAATCTCCCTCAATGCCCAATGCCAAAGACTTCCTTTGGTCAATTCTAGATATCACACTTGCTGTGTGAAACAAGTTGCTGTGATTTGGCCAAATATGCCTGAGAAGCTGCTGAGACCCTGTCCTTAACTTTTGTAGTAAGTTTTCTTGATTCTTCTGCTTGCCTGTCCTTACAACAACCATTGCTACAGTGCTAAAGCTGGATCAGGGCAGAGTGAGAATATCCTTTCATAGACACAGTCCACGGAGCGCCCTCTTGTTATCCATCAGAGTTTTGTCCAGCGTGTGAATGGAGGAAGGTTTCATCTGGGATGATGAAGTGAGATATCATCTCTTTAGATGTGTTATTATAATTGATCCTTTGTGATCCTGTCACCTGAGGAAATCCCAAGAGTTAATAAGGGTAGTAAGTTGGGTTTCATTCACAGTGGAGTGATTCACCCATAGGGTTTCGTAACAGCCCAGGAAGGCGTCATAACTGTGATAAAGGTTGTGTTGATAGGATTATTTTTGTGGCAAGGTAATCCTGTGCCACAATACCTGGGACAAGAAAACAAAAATCCTTTATCTTTTCTTGGGAATTTCACAAGAGTGGGCACAGAATGAACAGGGGTGAATGCTGTTGGAATCAGAAGAATGTAAAAATCCAGACAAGAGCACTGTATTTCGCTGTTTGGACAGTTGAACTTGTGGAGCGAACCCTTTGCACCACTGAGTTAGCTGCTTTTGATAACAGGGATGCTTTGTTTTAGAACCCAGGAAAAGTATTAAAGGTTTCTTAGCTGTATATTGTCAACAATTCTAGACAATAACGTCTCGGTATAATTTTTTCATTCTTGGGAACCATGTTTATTTAACTCTCATAAGACTGACCAGGCAGAGTAAGTGATATTGTGGATTAGCAAGGCTTGAAAACCTGTCTTGGCCAAAACAGCCTGAATCTGCCTTCACATCCACCTGTTCCTCACTGAATTAAGCTGCCTTCTAAAAGAAGTGATGTACTGAGACAGAGATACATGTTAACACAAGGAGAGACTGAAGCCTGGGGATTTGGAGGTTGAAGTTCCATAATGCTTATCGTTTGCTCTTTGACCACCCATAGGGAGGTAAGCTTATCAGAGCTCACGTACAAGCGTCCAGGTACTGTACGTCCACCATTGTGCTTGAGCTTGCCCCCCTCTTGTTCTGTGAGCTGAAGGCCTCAGGTGCGTGTGGCTTGGTGAGGTTTGGAAGCATTTGCATCTATGTTTAAAACAAAGGCCATTTTTGTCTGTCTGTTCCCTATGAGAGCTGAGTCTCCTGCCTGCTCCTTTTTCAGACATACAGCCTTATTTTGGTATGTTTTTCTAACCCTCATCTCAAACATACTTGATCAGCAGGATCACCTGAGGAACTGTGATTTCTGTGATCAAGCAAGTTGAGGAAACAGTCTCTCAACTTGATTCATGTGACCTATCTCTTGGAGTTTAATTATTGAGTCCTGTCAAGAACGGAGGCCCATAATGTGTTGCTCTAAGTGCTGTCTTGAATTGCTCTTGGCACTAAATGAACGAAAATGAAAGAAATTAGGAAACAGTCACTCATTTCCTAAGGACCCTTTTTGAAATCAGGGAAGACTCAGTCAATATTGTGAATTATAAAAATACTGATTTATTATTTCCACAATGATGTGAGTGCATACTGTGTGCCAGGCATTTGTGCTGGGGATATAGAGCCATCAAGAGGCAACTGATAACATTGATCGAAGTGTTTCTCATGGGATGGATACCAGGTTAATTACTTTACATACTTTTTTTTTTTTCATTTAAACTCCACAACTGTCCTGTGAGGTAGGTATTATCACCTTCATTTGAAAATTAAGAAACCGTTATTTCAAAAGTTTGACTTGGCCAGGGTTATGGAGCTAGTAACAGGGAGGTTCAGAATTCAGTCTGTCAAATCCCACACCTCACGCTTCTCACCCCAGTGATTGGCTTTACTATATGCAGTACATACGGCTCCTTGTTCTACCTTTTGTACTTCAGACAGAGGTTCTCAATTCTGGCTACACTAGAATTCCCCAGGAGCTTTTATTATTTTATTTTATTCTATTCCACCCTGTCATAATATATTATATTCTGGGGAGCTTTTAAAAAGTATCTTTGCCTGGGCTTCACCCTAAACAAATTAAATAAGAATATTTGCTGGGGCCCAGGTACCAACACACAGAGCATCATGAATTGCCATAAGTAATAGATACTGCTTCTGCCAGTCTAATAGTTTTCAGCACTCTACTTGGATTATTCGACTGATTAAACATTTAAAAGTTCCGAGTAATTGTTCTTCCCTTTCAATAAAATTGGAAGTAATCAAAATATGGCAAATACTCAAAGAATGTAGAAGTTTCCCAAAGAGGGACATGATAATAGATCCATTTAAAGAGGAATTTGGAAACTTGGAGATCTGTTTGCAGGAGAATTATAGTCTAGAGTGAGTGATGAGAGATCACCTGGCATCGCGAACACCCATGAACTTCTGGATTTCTTTTCTGGTGAGATTCAGAGAACCTGAAGACTCTTTTAATCTGATGGGGGAAGAAAACCTTGGGACAAATGGTGGTTCAAGAAAGTTTCCTTCATTCTTGGTGAGCACAGGCCACAAATCAGCTTTTTATTTTCCCTTGGTCCAAATGCAGGTAAAATAAAAGCTAAATAGTTTCAGTCTTACTAACTTAGATGTGTTAATATACGTACTCTAGACTAAAAGATTTATTTTGAATGCTCTAAGAAAAAATACAGTGTTGAAAAATAGATATCTAAGTTTCTTCAAGCTGTTTGAAAACATTTAATTGCTCAAACAATGCATGTGTCCATACTTATGTAAACTTTTAAGTTAAAAATTTTGTATTTCAGGCTTTCAGCACTTTGTAAAACATCTATGTCATGGTAGTAATAGCTTGCCTTGATGAAAATGGCCATCTAATTAATTATTGACTCTCCACTAATTAAATCTGATTTTGCCTTGCCTTCAGCCAGGGAGCTGTGACTGTTCCCAGAAAGAGGTTCTTCTCAAAGCATCTGTATCAAATATTAAGAGTAAATAGCTGAAATAATCAGAGTTGTGGTCCATACGTTCCCTAGAAAGAGAAAGACAGGGAAAGTAAATCTGGGGTCCCTGTGTTTCAAGTTGGATACGCTTCTGTGAGAGGAAAAAGATCAAGGTTGCCAAGGGAGGGAGGACTTCTTTAAACCAATGGGTCCTTAGCCGGAAAAAGGAAGAGCAGTGACTGCCACTCTCTATCATAAGTAACTTGACTCTTCGCATTTTTAAAACCAAGCCATGAATGCTGATAGAAGAGGTGGATCATAACATTACAGTGGGGTTGAGTCATTTTCTATGAACAGGTCATCTATAAAAAGTAAACAGAGGGGGAAAAAAGAAAAAAAGCAAAAAGAAAAACGTGAAAAATGGCCTCCTTTTTTACATTTCCACATAGGTGATCTCCATACCAGGAGATGAACTTCTTGAACTTGGTTGGGCGGGAGACGGACCTGGTTGGGCGGGAGACTGGAGCCCCTCAGAGAATTTGGGATTCTTCCATTTTTACTGGGAGGGTTGGCAGGTATAACATGTGTTGTTATGTGAGTCCATGAGAGCCTCCAGGGTTCTAACTCCCTGCCTCTCCGTGGGGTGGGGAGTCAGTCGCTCGCTCTGAAGCACGCGACTGGGTTCTGTGTGTGGCTTCCCCATGAGCAGTGGCTTGGGAGTGTCATAGCATGAGAAGCATGCCCTGCGATCAGCATGTGCCGCCGTCACCTCCTCCATGGTCCTGCATGGGCGTGCTCGCGGGCCTGCGGCCTCCCGGCTCAGGGGTCCCTTCTTTCCCTACAGAACTCCCTGAAGGCGTCCAATCGGAAGAAGAAGAGAACAAGCTTTAAAAGAAAAGCCAGCAAAAGAGGAACCGAAGTAAGCGCTTGAGGGTGATGGTCCAGGGAAGTCCACCTTCCTCTTCACCGTCTCCTCCGTCTGACTCGACCTGGCCCCAGCTCCTTTTTCTGATGGATCTCCCGCCACTATCCTTCATCATACCCTAACCACACTGGGATTCTGCCTGTTCCTTTAAAATATATGAATAAAACCTCTTGCCACTCGAGAGTCAGAGCGTTTGCTCTTGTCTGTGGAAGTATCATCCCAAAGATGATGAAGATGAGAGCTAGAATATATCTAGAGCACTTCAAGCCTATAGAATATAAACAAATCATGGCTAAATTCTTGGGGGCAAGTTATAGCTTGAGACACTTTCTCACGTTGAGTGAGCCCTGTGAAACAAGATACAGTGTATTTTGGGGGATATTTTGATTTTGGGGGGTGAGGTGGAGGATGGCACTGGTTCTGGAAATGTCTCACTTTCATTGCTTTGGGGCTGCTTTTCAAGTCATGGATGTATGTCTCAATAGTGCTGCTTTCTTTCTTTAGCAGGAAAACAAAGGTCGTCCTTTTGTGATAAAACCTATCTCTTCTCCGCTCATGAAACCTTTGCTTGTGTTCGTGAACCCCAAGAGTGGAGGCAACCAGGTAAGTCAGTTTTCATGAGTTTCACTTGGAAGTTTCAACACTTTCTTGAAAACACATTTCCTGACACCAAATGAAATAGCACTGTGGAGCTCCTAGCATTGGAAGACAGCCAGTTTCTGCAGTATAGCACAGCTTTACACTCGACAGGGCCAGGCGAAACCTCGAGTTTCTAGGATTTATCCCTCTGCTTCCACGTCAAGCTTCACTAAAGGTGTCAAAAACCTAACTGCTAATATTTTACTTACAGATTTTCAAGGAAGTTCATGCTACAAACTCTCAGTGTTTCAGCTTTCTCAACTCCTATAGTTAGGAAGCCCTTCGTGAGCTTGTGTGTGTTTGTTAGTTCAGTCGTGTCCAACTCTTTGTAACCCCATGGACTATAGCCACTAGGCTTCTCTGCCCATGGAATTCTCCAGGCAAGAATACTGGAGTGGGTTGCTGTTCCCTTCTCCAGGGGATCTTCTTGACCCAGGAATCGAACCCGGGTCTCCTGCATTGCAGGCAGATTCTTTACTGTCTAAGCCACCACCTGTATTTCTTTCTACTGTAATTGAGACTCAACTACTTTTCCCCCTGTCTTCAGAGGGAAGAGAGAATGATGATTTATTATCCATGATAGTCATGAACAGTAGACACCACCAAGGCTACCAAAAATATATCACCTTTCACAAGTTTCATTTTGTCTTTGCCCAAGTTCTATAGAATGATTAATATCAACCTCATTTGAGGATAACAAATAGCCTTAGAAAAGTAAAATTTAATAACATATCTAATGTACACAGCTCTTTAAAGGATAGAAATTGTTCTAGAATTCAGGTCTTTGTCTCATCATCTATTTCTTGTCCCACTCTCTGAGGCTTCTTATCAATACTCCTCTGTGGGTTCTGATTTTGCTCTGACTTCTACGTGAGTTTGGATGATATTTCCTGTGTCCATTAAGTGCACATTTTACATTTTGAGACAAGATTCCCTGAAGTGTCATGCTAAGCAACTTAAAGATTTAAAACTGCTTGAGTCACCTCATATAAGTAGGGAAATCATAGAATTAAGATTGACCCAAGATAATGCTTGTTCTTATTAGTAAAGTTAATGGGTATTTTCCAGATCACATTAATGATAGTAAAGCTTCTCTAATGGGAGCTTCTCATTTAAAGAAATATTATCCCCCCTTTCCTTTATTCAAAATTATTTTTATTAATTTTTGTTTATGTATTTATTTAATTTTTGGCTGTGCTGGGTCTTCGTTGCTGCATGCTGGCTTTCTCTAGTTGCAGCACGTGGGGGCTACCCTCTAGTTGCTTCAAGCTTCTCATTGCAGTGGCTTCTCTTGTACAGCCTGGGCTCTAGGGAGCAGGCTCAGTAGTTGTGGCAGGAGTTAGTTGCCCCGTGGCATGTGGGATCTTCCCGGACCAGGGATCAAACCAGTGTCCCCAGCATTTCAAGGTGGATTCTTAACATTGGACCACCAGGGAAACCTCCAAATTCTTTTCCTTTTTTTTAAGACTTTTTAAACCATTTTTTTTATGTGAACCACTTTTAAAGTCTATATTGAATTCGTTGGGGCTTCCCAGGTGGTGCAGGGGTAAAGAATCCCACCTGCCAATGCAGGAAACACAGGAGACTCGGGTTTGATCCCTGGGTTGGAAAGATCCCCTGGAGTTAGAAATGGCAACCCGCTCCAGGATTTTTGCCTGGAAAATTCCATGGACAGAGGAGCCTGCTGGGCTACAGTTCATGAGGTTGCAAAGAGCTGGACAAGACTGACTGACCGAGCATTTTGAATTTGTTACGATACCGCTTCTGTTGTTTATGTTCTGTTTTTTTTGGCCTTGGGGCTTTTGTTTTTTTGGTTCCTTGCCCGGCCTTCCAACTCGTGCCCCCTGCATTGGAAGGCAGTGTCTTAACCACTGGACTGCCAGGGAAGTCCCCCCAAAATTACTAATAATTCTTCTGTTAAAAGTCTGTATTAACATTGTAGAGAATAGAGAAAAGAAATGTTATTAAGTAGAGATTTTTAACATCCTGCTTTTTTGGCTTACTGAATGATGATCTTCATGTTGTAATGATGGTGATCCTAAAACTGCCTTGAGAAATTTCTTGGGAGTGAAGTTGTTTGCTCTGAATCTTACTCCCTCTCTGGGTATAGTCTTTCCATAGCCTGACTAGGGTTGAGGGTGTGGTTGGGGACCATGGAACAGAGTGCAGTTAATTAATGTAAATGACTCCATGATGTTGGCCACCTGAGCTCCATGTGCTAATTAATGTCAGGTACATTTTATCATGAGAGTCTATGTAAAATGTGTTAATTGAATTCTTATAAGCTTTTCCTTTAAAGCATTTAGAAAATTGTAGATGATCTCTGCTTTTGAGGAGGGGGCAGTCCAGTTAAGACACAGCCTGTTCCTGTTTCAAACTCTGTATAAATTATTAAAGGCAGGGACTTCAGAGATGATCTAAGATTGTTTCTTCTTTCACTAAGTAGAAAACAGCTCAAGGAAGCAGAAGTGAATTTTCTAAGGATATTGTGTTTGTTAATGACACAAAAGGGGCGAATGGGAAAAAGGATCTGAGCAAGGAGATGTGAATTCTAAATTGAGTGGATCAGACCACAAGTGCTGTGAAATTTCAGCGGCAAGCAGCCGCTTGGGAGTGATGAGGAAATGGTGTCAGGGAAGTGGCTGAAACAGAAGATGGACACCACTTAGTTTTGCAGAGGGAACTAGGGTCATGCCCTCTTCTTCCTCTCTCTTGCATCACATTCCTGTTCATCCTTTACTGCTCAATAGCACCTTTCTGAACAACTGCTCAGAACTAATTGGCTTGTCTGCTTGCTCCTGAAGTCTATAGCACACACGTGTACTATGTAAATTGCAGCATTAAGTCCTGCACTGTGTATAGCATAGCATGTGTGTCTGTACCAAAGAGATACAGGCTTCGTTAATGCCAGGGCTGCACCTCTGAACCTCTGATTTCTAGTACATAGTGCATAGGAATGAAATATAATTGTTCAACCAGCAGTATGTGTAGAAGGTGGGATGCTATGATGAAAGTGATTCATTTTGAGCACAGTATAATGGGTAGAGCATGCAGATTAAGTTATTAGAAATATGATGAAAGATTAGAAAGAACTTGTGGAGCAGTGTCTTAAAACCTGGCTGAAGATTTTGGATTTATATAATAAAAATTTGGTTTTTTGCTATTTAAAGATTTTTTTTTTAGTTTTGAAAAATATTTTTTTTAAATAAAGGAGTAATATGATGGCAGATTAATTAGACACATTGAGAATACTTATAAGACAGGAGGCTATTCGTTAGCATAAATTAGATAGAGGACCTTGTTGTTTATCCATTCTATGTAAAATAGTTTGCATTTACTAATCCCAAACTCCCAATCTTTCCTTCAACAACAAGGTCCTACTGTATAGCACAAGGAACTATATTCAACATCCAGTGATGAAGCATAATGGAAAAGAATATGAAAAATAATATATATATTATATGTATATCTGAGTTACTGTGCTGTATAGCAGAAATTAACATTGTAAATAAAATGTGCTTCAATAAAATTCTTAAAAAATTGGATAGAGAGCTTAATGGATGGACCAATGAATAGATGGGTAGACCTATGGACTAAAGGATGGATGTGTGGATGAATGAATGGGCATATGAATGAATGGAAGTAAGGTATCAAGATTTTCCAGCTGATTATCGGAAAGTGGCTTTGTTATCAATGGATTTTCAGGAAAGGGAAGAATTATTTTGGGAAAGATGTTGAAATGTGTTTGAACAATTTGAGATCACAGTGACGTGTTCAGGTTGTAAAACTGACCTGTTATTAGAAACAAAAAGCTTCATGACTTTGCTGTCACTTGGAGGCACTTTGGCTTATGAATGCGTTGCCCTAATGATGTCACCTCCAGAGTACCTAGGATTCTCAGAAATGTGACTAAGCAAATCAAAATGAATAATACATAACTTTAAACTTCTGTATATTACCTCTGTAAAGTAGAATTCTTTTTTAAAAAAATATTTATTTATTTGGCTCTGCTGAATCCCAGTTGTGGCACAGGGGTTTCCATTCTTCACTGCGGCGTGTGGGATCTTTTGTTGGAGCATGCAGGATCCTTTCTTTTGGGGTCCTTTTTTAGCAGCATGTGGGATCTAGTTCCCCAATCAGGGATGCAACCCAAGCCCTCCCCCCACCTCCCTGCAGTGGGAGCTTGGAGTCCCAGCCACCGGACCACCAGGAAAGTCCCTCGAATTCTTTACTAAGCATAATACATACAAAGAACCTTGTTTCTAAGCACAACATGAAATGTTGAGAAAGCTGTAGAGAAATCCAAACACTCATCCATAATTAGAATCTTTCAAACTGACCTCCATATATTTACAGTTCATATATTTATGGTTCCTTCTTCAGTGTTAGGATGGTACACCTCTAACCAGCCCCCACCCCCCAGCTGTGTTGAGCAGGGCAGAGTCACGGTCAGGGTTGACCTAACTCCTCTTTCAGGTCTAGCTGTGGCCATACTGTGCCCTTCATGCTGCACATGAGTCAGCTGTAGGATGGGGGCAGTCAGAGAATGAAGTAAACCACCCCACTTGGCAAAACAGAATCAGAGGAATGGAGTTTCTTATTCCTCAGCTCCCTTGACCCTCTGACCCAAATGAACCACAGTTGAGACCAAGAGGCAGAGAAGAGCAGACGGTGGCAGTGAAAACGAAGCAGGTTACCCCCAGGAAGGAGAAAGGGGGAAGGATGTACATGTGCTTTCTTACCTGGAGTTTCTCCTTGTGGAACATTCTGTGCTCAAAGCTTACATAATGTGGTGTTCTCCTTCGAGGAGGAGGCCATTCATGTTTATTTACCTTAGAGGCTAGTTGAGATTAGTTTAGAGACTAGTTGAGATTAGTAATATGACCTCTGTGTTTGTTTGACATCCTCAGACAACCTTTGAAATGCTATTCATCAGAATCTTTATCTGGAAATTTTCAGTTTTT